ATAAAATTTTCTCTAGGAAGACTCTTAATTACTCGAATTTATTATACATCTGTAATTTCCATTTCTTCCGAATTTCCTAATTTTTCTACACGATCCTGCTTACAATAGGGTGTGTGATGTATGTATTTGTATACGTACATTCACAAAGACAAAACACAAAGAACAATAAACAATAAATAACAATCCTAAAAAAAGTTAGAATTTGTCGAATCAAAATTTGTTTGCTTAAGAGAAACAAAAGATTATAATTTATTATAGATTTTTAATCTAACTAAAAACTTCAGCATAACTGAATAATTTAGCCAAATAGACAAATAAACAATATATATGAAAATATCGATAACTTGAGAAAATACAATAGCATAGTAATAAAGAAACAGAAATAAAAGCAAAAATGATAGACGGATGGGAACTTATTTCAACAAATTATATAAATAATATTATTGAAGAACAAGTGCAAACTGACATCACATTATCTGCTACAGCATATTTATATAATACCAACATAGAGAAATCTATGAATAAAACAGAATATCTGTTAGAAAAGATTCCCTGTTTAAATAACAATATTCACTAAATTTTTGAACATTTAAAATCCTGCCACGGCCGGTCAGGTCAAATTGGCTCGATGCTTAAAAAAAGAAAGACTGTTAATAAAAATTCAATGAGTAGGGGATATTGAAGAATGATTACTTGTAATAATAACTCACAAATAAAAATTTTAAGAACATTCAATAAGTTGTACTAGGTTCAGTACTAGTTTGTACAATACATAAAATACTAGAAAACTATTTGTTTAAATATTAATTGTCCGGGATAGCGCGAACGCAGTCCCGACTACCAAAAATTGTACGTCCGAGATATCCACATTAGGGATATTCGCAGAGGTCAGCTCAACCTTAGTGCAATGGAAGAGCCTCACCCTGGAGGAACCGCCTTCTTGATCACGGTAACCTCTACGCCAGGTAAGTATGATTTCATTCCGTTCTCTGACTTACTTAAGCCCGTGCGGTACAGTTGTAACTGCGAGAAACTCCGTATTGCTTGCGCTACATAGCGGCGACTCGTGGAACTAACCGCCTCACCAGACTTGACTAAACCGTTCATGGGAACTAACAATTATTTAATATCAAGCAATTGAAATATAAATTATATTGCATTTTGATGAGATATGACAGTGAATAATCACATAATATTTAACTTTAATTATTTAATCTATATGAAAAATATTTTTACCCATATTTCTTTTCTTTTTTTAATTTATTGGACAGAATTATTTTAACAGGAAATTATTTTAATCTAAATTTTAAGAATTATCAGTTAACCAATGTAATTTGTAAAGTGATTGTAAAATATACTACTACTCTCGTGCATTACAAAAATAGCTAGTATTAAATTTAGCTACAGATAAACGTATGATAAACGTCATTTTATCTCCTGTGATAACGAATTAAAATAATCTAAATACTTTAATATTCGGTATAGAATACGTTTGGAAAGCGTCGTTAGAATGAGAAAGAAATTCAATCTATTAGGAATAAACATTTATTTCTTTCTGCAAAGAAAAACAATGGCAAATACATGTTTACAAACTTCCTACGTAACATCGAAACATATGACTTTTGCTTTTAGCGGTTACTATAGTTATACCTAGTTATTTATTACTGTAACACTGTCAACTGTAAAATGTGTAAATATTATATCCAATTTGTTTCCAATAAACCTTCGATGTGAAGAATTGTGTTCGATATGAAAAATTAAATTTTCAATACTATTACACATGAATGTACAAGCTGTATTTTTATTACCGGACAGTTGACTATATAATGTGAATGAAACCTCGATTGTCACACATTTGTAAGAAATATGTAAAATATTTATACATCTATGCAAAATATTGTAAATTTTGTGAAATAAAATTTTGAATAAAAAATTCGTTAGGGTAGTCGTTAACACGGAGCCAATTTTATTTTACTGCCTATTTAGATGCAATATAGCATGGGTAAATATAGGAAATGCGTTTATGCATGAACAGAAAATAACGAGTAACAAAAGGGCCAATAATTCATACCTTATTTTTATTTTTAATATCTCAATAAGATCCTTCAGAAAGATAGAACAATATTTGTTATCCCTTTGCACTGGAGAATTTTTCATTTGATTCACCAGCAATTCTAACACAGGCTTTTACAATGACAAATTTTTAAATGCCAAAGGTTTTATGTTTAAAAATAATTAAGATCGGAACGCATTTAAATGAAGACAAAACCAGATAATTCACTAAGAATTGAAAGGCATATCTGAATATAGTTCCCACTTAATTGCAGATAGAAACACATGTTAGTGAAAATAAAAAAATTAACTAATTATAAATTCTTAATATCTCTAAAATGATACCCCGCGAGAGCAGAGAGTGTTGAAAAATAAATTTAAAGAGAACTTTAGTGGAGTGATTATAATCTCCAATTTTCTTCTACTTTTTCCTGTTGAAATAAGTACTTGGTTTGTTAATAAATTATTCCGGGATAGCGCGAACGCAGTCCCGACTATCAAAAATTGTACGTCCGAGATATCCACATTAGGGATATTCGCAGAGGTCAGCTCAACCTTGGTGCAATGGGAGAGCCTCGCCCTGGAGGAACCGCCTTGTTGATCACGGTAACCTCTACGCCAGGTAAGTATGCTTTCCCTCGGTATTCCATCCTATTTCCTACATCAACAACCTATTTTCAACAGCGAGAATAAAGGTCCTTCCGAACGCTCCATAGCGACTGCTTCGGGAACTAATCGTCACGTAAACCCCTACTCTTTGAAGCAACCCCATGGGTGCAACAGTATTCTTTTGGTGTGGTAGTGTGTAACGTACTAACCATCTGCAGACCGAGACCCTCTCAATTGTGAAACTTGACCTGAACGAAGGATTTTGAAATGTGGAATGAAAGACAGTTACGTTAGAAAAATTATACATTTTATTTTACACGAAGAAATTATTTCTTATGGTATCTATAAAAAATATACTAACTCTAGTGTGTAATCTATAAGTGCAATAATTCTGTGGATTTGTTACAAGGTAAAAAGTTTTTAATTATGTTAATATGAATTTGTAAATTTTTATTCTTTTTAATCATGTGATGATTTTGGAAAGCAATTTTATTTTATACTAATTTATTATTTTATTTATTTCAAAAAGGTTATAAAATTTTGTTTAAAAATTGTGTTTAATATATTAGATAATTGCATATTGTTTTATATTATATTCAAATAATATAAAATAATTTAAACGAAGAATAAAAATTAGAAAGAGTTTGCTCCATTATTTGTTGCAGATGATTCCTTTTAAAAATGTAATTTAATAGAAAACTTTCTACGAAATTTTTTAATACAATTATATAATATCATTAATCTCCCATTTTAAAAATGGAGGATATGTCTGAAAATATATACA